GGACCAGGAGGTGAGGCTGAGGAGCTTGACGCCAAGAGAGGCCTGGAAGGAAAAGACACAAAATTGGGCCTTCTCGGCGGTGGCTCCTCGCCTGTGGAACAAGCTCCCTCCGGAGATTCGTGCGGCTTCCACACTGGGTATCTTTAAAAACCAATTAAAAACATGGATGTTTATTCAGGCCTTCCCTCCAGTCAATACTTGATCTTTTCTTTTTTATTTCTTCTTTATGTCTTCTTAACTTTATTTCCCATCCTGTAAATTGTTATTGGAGGATTTCTGTAATGCTTTTTGTGTTATTTTTATTAGTTGTTTACGTTGTATTGGAAGCTGCTTAGAGTGGTCGCAAGACCAGATGGGTGGGGTACAAATAAATAAATAAATAAATTTTAGAATTTAAATAAATAAATAAACAAACAAACAAACAAACAAACAAACATTTCAGTCAACTTCTTTTGAAAACACTACTGCACGTCAGCAGTAAAATTAGTGTTGCATAATTCTATCCAGTTCACTCCCCTCTTTACAGATATGCTTAAGCATGACCCTCTAGAGGGCAAATATTGGTTTATCAATCCATATATTGAAGCTGAAACAAATGCTACTATAGTTATTGGCTTCAGGCAGTGCCACTCACTGAGCACTATTTAAATACTGCATTCAGTTCCCAACAGAAATAAAATAAAATATTTAAAGTGATTTTCATATTGAATTATGGCAAAATTCAGAGCTATGTTATCATTTGCTGAACAAGCACTGTAACTGAGCTTGTCAGATAACATTTGCCCCACTTTTGTTAAAATATTGAACATGTGCTCTGTTTTCTCACTACTCTTAACTGATAGATTCTTGCCAACTTTTGTTATCACCTTCATTGCAACTTTTATCATAATTCAGTACATCTTTCTATTGAATAAAATTGATCTCTTTGTTTTCTGTCTCAAATCAATTTGTATAGATTCTTTCCTTAAGAAAACATAACACAAGAATAAAAGTAGTAAGTGATACACAATTCCAGTACTGGTGCACTGCCATATATCTAAATAATATGTGTTGAAATGCTGCTGTGAAAAGGAAAATAGGGAACATTGTATGATTTTAAAATTGCATGGTGCTTCTAAGCTGTGGAGGATTCTTTCTGACAGATGAATTCACTGCTTTTTGCTTGTCTGTTTGCTTTTGTTTTTAAGATGTGTTTGATGTTGTGAGCCATTTTCTAGTGTCTTAACTATCACAGGAAGGATATAAATGGTTTAATAAAACTGATAAATAAAAGTCACTGTCTTTGAATGCATTGAAGGGGTCCGGCCCTCAGTGAGCAAGTAACTGTTCCTTTGCTTTAGGCAAATTCACAGTAATGTGTGAAGCCTTGTCAGCTGAATATATGACTTGTAGGTAGCCTCTATTGTCTAATTTGGGGTTAATTTGATCTCTGCCCCGGAGCTTAGCGAAAGGAAAGGAAAAGCAGGGATCAAAGGGCTCCCCTTGACCACCGTTTTTTCTTGCCTTTTGTGAAGCCCTGGGCCTCAGCAAAGAGGAAGGGAAGGCTCCCTTCGGGTAAAGCAGCTGTGAAAGGGCTGCATTATCTCAGCCCTTTGATCCTGAAGCCCTTTCATGGCGACTTTACCCACTTCTGATTCAAAGTTCATACTATTTGATACGTATACCTTTTGCTTTAAATGTGTTTTTTTCACAATTCTAAAAAATTAATTATTGTTTCAAGGTTGTTTGCCCAGTTCTTGGGTTCAATTGTCTCTGGTTTGCTTTTGTTTTTGTTTTAGAAGACATTGTCAGATTAAATGGCCTTAAATTATTCCAACAGAAAAATGGTTGCTTTGTAGTTGCAGTAACTATAATCCTTATGTACTGTTTACAGTATATAAATAATTTATATACAAAATGTATGTGCTGTTTAAAATATATACAATATAATTGCTTTAATGTACAGTTTAACATGCATTGTATATGAAGCAGTATAAAGAGTAAAAAGACAAACTTCTGGAGACTATATTTACAGGACCATGGACAGCTCTACTTCAGCTGATAATTTGCTTCTGCAGGGGTCAGCAGCAACTGATTGGAGTTTAAATTACTTCTACCAGTACGTCCTAGTGGAGAATGGTGACATATATTGAGTTTTCATGCATTCTCATTCAGGCCATGTGGATGCTTCAGTTTGCTTAAGGAACTGCATTATACGCCTTCAAATCATGCCCAAGGACTCTGGTATGCTGGGAAATCATGGATGTTTAGGAGTTAATCAAGGATATTTTCATATAGATATATAGATATGTACTTAAAAGTTTAATAATCCTGGAGATGTAATATATTCAAAGCTGGAGGAGAAAATATAGAATATCCTTTGTCACTGGAAAATTGAAGAGTGGGCTGATAAAAATACAGATTATTTTTTAAATGCGAGATAATTCAGCTGTTTCCATTATTTTTTTTATGAGGTATCCCTTTTTCTCCTGCCAAATTTATTTTTCATTGCTTTTGAGACTGTTGAAAGAAGGAAGGAGGGAAATAAATAAGAGTAAATTCAACAGTATATGTTTATTATCCTGTCTTCAAAAGCTGAAGACATAGATACTTGCCGGCTGTATCACAAATAATGTATACGATTTTAATATTTCATGAATAAGAGAAGCATCCAGTGGAGAATATGTAAGATCGGTTGCCTGATTCTGTCAAATGGCTGTATCAGCATTCTATTTTTATTAGGAACACTGAAGTTTTGTTGGTTTGAATGACACTAACTGCCACGTTAAAATTATAAACATGAGAGGAAATAGAAGGTACTCTGATCCATCAGAAGCATCTACCAACCTGTACCCCTGCTACAAAAAGTACACCTCTTTTGATGAGCTTCACATGCACCCTAGGAAGCCACTGTTAAGGCACAAGCGGCAACATCTTTCTTTGCAGGACTTTGTGCATCTTCAAGATTGCTCTTGAGATTCCAGCCCAGTTTGCTGCTTTTTTATGTTTGTAGAGAGCAATAGGATCTCATTTCCTGTCTCTTAAATGTTACTGTGTTCATCTCTTTTTGGTCAGTCTAAAATGTCTGTTTGAACACTTATTTTTACTGTGATGTTTCATTATTGTATTATTCTGTAGCATGTCGTATTTGAAGACTCACATGTGCCGCCCTATTATTTGAGGATCATGCATGTGTTAGACAAACCCCTCTTGATAAACAAACAAACAAAAAAACACAAACAAGTAAATAAAATTTGTTTTAAATTTGTGGAAACTGAAAGCTATTTTGGAAGCTTTATGGGAGTTACTTAGATTGCAGTGTTGTTGTTGTTGTTGATGATGATGATGATGTCTCCTTTGCTATGGCCCTTTATTAATGTACTGTACTTGGAAGGGAGACAAACTTTTGTAATTTATAGTAATTTGTTCTTTATATGCACCTCTAAAACTGATGTCTTAGTTAATTTGAATTTGACAGCATCACATAAGGAGATTTGTGTGCTCAATTAAGCAGTCTTCTGAACACTTATCATTGACTGAATCAGTAGCTGCAGTAATCAGCAAGAGGAGCATGCAAAGGTGCATCCATCAACGTGTGCTTCTAATCCAGCTATATTGCTTTCAAATAGAGATGGGCATGGACCTTGGTTTGGAGGTTTGTGCTGGTTCATTGGCATGGCACCACAAGTGTCACACATTTCCCCACCCCCCCACCCCGGACGGCTCCCCTGCTCACCAGGCATCATGTGCTGCTGTTTTCGTCTTCATGCAATCATCCAGGAACATGTCCCTACTTCCTCTGCTTGCTCTGGCAGTCACCCACTCAAAGGGAGCACTGCAAGAATCCCTGCCCTGGTTTCTAGTCTGAGTGGGTAGCTGACAGAGGAGGAGGAGGAGGAGGAGAGAAGCACACGTTCCTGCTGCAGCTGGCATGAGGAAGAGAAGAGTGGCCTGTGCCTGCTGGTGAACTGGGGTAAAGAGAATGTGTGGCACCGCTAAAGAACCAGTGCAAACTCCAAACCAATGTTTGTGCTCACGTCTACTTTCAGATGGATGTTGACAGACACTCACAACCTATCCCAATTTGTCATGTATAACTTGAGTGTGTTAGCTTCATTTCTAGTTTTTTCCCTTTATTACTCCTGTAAATAGCAAGAAAGGGGAAAATAAAAAAGCAATATTCTTATCTCATTAATAGTAATAATTGGAGGAAAAAGAATGTCAAAAGGTAGCAGCAAATACACCTAGGAGACACCTAGGGTGTTTGAACTAGTATTCTAATTTATTTATTTATTTATTTTACAGGTCTGAAGGTGACAGTTCAAGAAGCATTGGGTATGTACTTCAATTATTTGCCTTTCTGTTATGGCCTCCCTGGAATTAATTGTGTTACTGAAGCCATATCCTCTGATTTTGGTTTTATTAGGCAGTCATAATTGTTAAAAAGGGGGAAATGTATTTACAACATGGTATCAAGTGAGATCATTTCAAATTTTAATGTCATTACACATATCTGGTTTCTGACACATGCCAAAGTTACTGTGTTTACAAATAACAAAGAAACTTTTAAAGTTATTAAAATGCATTTAAAAGAAATTTTGTGTAATTAAGAGAAGAGAGAATTCTGACACTCTTTAGAGAAAACATTTTGCTTTAGGAAAAGGATGGATAGCTTTCACAGCTACCTATATGTTCTATTGTGTATCATATTAAATTGGTCTTTCTGTAGGTAAGATTTAAATTATCTGTTCGCTAAAATAAAGAATTGTTAAGAGTAATCTTATTTCTAGAACACCAGTGCTAGAGAAATTTAAATGCATTTAGTTCTACTTAAAAATAGCCTGTTTCCCCGAAAATAAGACCTAACCTGAAAATAAGCCCTCATATGATTTTTCAGGATGCTCATAATATAGGCCCTACCCCCAAAATAAGCCCCAGCTAAGTGAACCCTGCCCTCACCATTGTGCAGTAACCAAAAGAAGATGACATGACTGTATCTGAATAAATGTAGGTTGTTGCACATGAAAACAATAAAACATCCCCTGAAAAAAGCCCTAATGCATTTTTAGAGCAAAAATTAATGTAAGATCCTGTCTTATTTTCAGGGAAATGCGGTATATCCTCATGATTTTATCACAATTGTAAACATTTAACACAATTCTTCATGATCATCTGAAATACATATTAGTCTTCTGAAAGATCTACTCTTATTTTTTCAGTGGTAACCCTTTTCTTCATAGCTGTAAGCCTTTTGTATTTTACAACATCTGTGAAATATTTTGTGCACATGGAACTGCCTGGAAAACTGTAGGCATGTTATTTTATATTGTATCTAATTTCAGTGATCTATTACAAGATTCTTTCTTCAGTTAAGTCTACCAGAAAATAAATCCTACCCTTTGTTGTATGAACACACTAGTACTGGAGCATTGTTAATGTGTGGATGCAGCCCTTTGATACTTTTTTAAAGCAAGGGCTAGTGATACCTTTAATGGACCATTAATATATTTTTAAATACAGTAATAGCTAGTTTTCAACCCGCACTAGTCTTCAATTAGGCTGTGCTCTAATATATTGTAGATAGAGCAGGAAGAAACATGTGAGTCTCAAAAATCATGGCAAGTGAGTTCAGAAATTCAGGCTCCTGACACAATTCAGGAGTGTAGATTTCAAATTCCACTTCTTGTGACCATTGTCTGGATTTTATATTCAGGCTCCTGACACAAGTCAGGAGTGTAGATTTCAAATTCCACCTCTTGTGGCCATTGTCTGGATTCTCTCTCCTAAATCATCAAACGAAAGGCTGCTACTATTCAACATTTCCCTCTTCCCACATCATTATATTTTGAAACTCAAAGTTCTTATTTGGCTGGGGGAAAAGCTACACATAAATGTGGGAAAACTCTATCAGAAAATTGGGAATAAAATTTAGTCTGCCCACTAAATAATTATCATGTGTCATCAAGTCAGTTCTAAATTATGGTGAACAGTTTCAGAGTTTTCCAGGTAGACAGTTCTTAGAAGTGGTTTATTACCCCCTTTTCTACTCCAGAACTGTGCAACTTGCCCATGACCACACAGGCTGGCTCTTCTTTCAGGAGGCATGGTGGGGAATTGAACTCCCAACCTCTGGCTTTGCAACCAGATACCTAAATCACTGAGCTATCCAGCCATCTAATATATAGTCTACCCACTTGGTGAATAAAAGTGAAGCCAAATTAATAGTGGTTGAGGAAGATATTTTCTTCAGTTTGCAGTCCTGCTTGGCTGATGTCAAGTGCACATGTTGTATTTTGTCTTCAATTTTTAGTGGTCCAAAAAAAAGTATAATCTGCCCTTGCTTTTGTATCGTGTAAGGATCACATAGTATTTGCTTGTATTTTTTTAAAACTTCTAAGAAAATAATAAAGCTTGTGTTTATTAGTGAAATGCACTAATAGGTGATAGCCCTAGTTCTGGCTAACTTGGTTAGAGATATAATGGGCCATGGCTGCCCCTTTCAGTTCTAGATAACAAAGGAGAGATTTCTCGAAGGGACAAAGATGTGTAAGAAGAAAGGATATGATATCAGCAACCCTAAGAATGCTGACCTTCCTTCTAAAGAAGATGCTGCTGCTGCTGCTGCTTCATCTTCTTCTTCTTCTTCTTCTTCTTCTTCTTCTTCTCCTCCTCCTCCTCCTCCTTGGTGGCTTTCAGAAATTATTTGTCTAAAGCTAGATTTTGTACAGAAGGTCATGGTTTTGGTTTCACCAGCCACTGGAAGACATTCCATTCCACATTGCTACTGAAGGTTACCTATGCCTTCAGCAACAAAAGTGGATCTGCGTAAAACCTCAAACTGTGTACTCATTTCTGTCAAGGTGTGAACTTTTGAGTCTGTAGAGCAGTGGTGTCGAACTGTGGCCCTCCAGATGTTCTTGGCCTTCAACTCCCAGAAATCCTGGCCAGCAGAGGTGGTGGTGAAGGCTCCTGGGAGTTGAAGTCCAAGAACATCTGGGGGGCCACAGTTCGACACCACTGCTGTAGAGTGTTAAAATACAGTTAAGGGGGGGTATGGAAAAAGCACGCCTGAAAATGAAAATACATTTAAACTTAAGGCTTCAATAGAGTTTACTATAGTCATTTGAAAAACAGACTTTAGGTGTATCAGAATAATTAGCCAGCTTTATAGCTGAGCAAGCTCACTGAATCATAAACAACCTGGGAGCTGAATGAGTTTATGTTGTAATGAACATAGTTGTATTGCAATATATAAACATGAAGTGGCATTTATAAGTCTTATAGTGCACTCTTTCTGTGATTATACTATTTTGAGTTCACAATATAGCATTTCAAAATTTTAGATGACAATATTCTGGTAATCTAGAATCTTGGTATTACAAGGTCCTGGCGTTACAAGGGCTTTAGGCCATAGAATCTTATTCTTCCAGGTTTTGCAGAATCTTGGCCATAACAAAAACATCTCCAAAGTGGCAGCCTGCCAAATTTCAGGTTACAGATCACTTGAGTTATAACATCTACAGAAATAATACAGTTTCCCATTTAAAAATATTCTTGGTGTTTCAGACCCATGGATTGTTTACAGATTGGTGGGAGGTGAAAAGAAGGATTATAAATATGGGGAGATAAGACATGCAAACAGGAATGCAAATGCAACATTCTAGTTAACAATGCTCCACATTACGCTACACACCAAATACCAAAAACACTGATAGCATGTAGCAGAGCCAAGCTGAGCTGAAGAACTGGGGAAAGGAAAAAGATAACAATGCTGAGAGAAGACACGGAAATCATGGATATTTCTCTATTGATTTTAACTAGTAGATAGCTGGGTGATAATTTAGAAAATGTATTACTTTTCTGTGTGTGTTATTACTATGCTTAGAAGATAAGAAAGTACCGGTAATTTACTTTATAGTCTTACTTTTACCATTTTTGATATTTTCCCTATGCTTTCTAAGTATGGATACAGCTAAAGATTACTTAAGGTTATAATACATTTTATTTTTATTATTGTTGTTGTTGTTGTTGTTTGTTTGTTTGTTTGTTTTTATTACATTTATATTATTACATTTCTCCCAACAAAGGGATCCGAGGCACTCAAAGCATTAAAATTCACACAATTAAAACACAGTAAGTTAAATATTAAAAGACAAATTAAACAATATATGATTTAAAATAAAATTAAAAGATTAAAACATGGAAAGGATTAAAATTATCTGCTAAAATGGGGTTCAGGGATTCAGTTGTAATTGTTAAATGATGTGTTTTAGAAATGTATACTCTGTCTTTTGTTTTTAAATGTGCCTTATTAGGCTCTAAGTAGTTTTAGAATGTAACTAAAACATGCTTTTTAATATTTTATTGTACTTTTGCTCCTGTATTTTGGATTGAATTCTGACTTAAGTGTTTGCCTACCTTTATTTTAGCTTTAATATATTTTTAAGTATTTGTGCTTGCAGTTTTCTTCATACGTGTGAGACTTTGGAATTTAAAAGAACTTTGAGGTATTTTGTGCATATGGAACATGAAACCATGTGCATAAACAAAGCTTGTAGAAATAGACCAGCTGATATTGTCTGGAATTATTGTAGCAATGAAAAGACATACATTGATACTCAGATGAATTTTGATCTTATTGTCAATGCTTGTTTGGTTTCCTTCTGAAATTAACCCTTTTTTGGGAAAATGTCAACTGTGGTGGAACACGTGCTTCTGATTTCCCCCCACCCCCCACCCCCTGCGTTCATAAAATTGCTTAGGACTCTTAGGAAAGGCCAGGCCTCAGTTTATCTGATCTGATACTTCCTTGGGGGAGAAGTAGTTGCATTCAATTATATCCCAGGACTAGTTGACACTTTGATGATCTCCAGGTTGTCATGGAAAAATTCCACCAAATGTCACTACAAAGACATAAGGGAATTTTATTTGCTATCTTCATGAGCACACAGTAAACCCAATACTGAGTTTGTATGTTTGTTCAGATTTAGAGATGGACATGAACTGTACTTTAGTACTCTGGCACCGTTTGTGTGGGCACTTTGGAATCCCCACCCTGCCTCCTCTCATGGGTGGCCACTCAGAGGAGGAAGCCCAGGGCATTGCTTCTGAGTGGGTGGCGGTGGAGGCAGGGTGGTGAACCCAGGTTGCCCGCACAACACCTGTGGGGATGCTCCACCTTTTCACGCCAAAGCACTGAACCATGTTTTGTGCCCATCTCTAGTCAGATTCACAGAAAACTCTTTTTGTGACTTGTATTTCAGCTGTCTCCCTTCATGGTTTTAACACATTTCTCTATTTAGTAGAAAACCAAGGAAATGAACAGGCATGCTAAC